AACTGGAATAAGTTCTACCAGCAGAAGCAACTGTGGCCTTGACCAGGTTTTTAAATCATCCCTGACCCTAATATTTTCCAGTTTTCTATATGATCCACAGAAATCAGCAACCCCTGATAATGGTGCATCGCCATGTGCTGCAGCACCCTGGCAGCATGAGAAGCCAGTTACCTTTTTCTCTTCACAACTGAGCTGGCAGCAGTCACATTCTCCCCCGTTAAAGCTCCAAACAGGGGCCCAAGGGGGTGAACATTCAGGGATTTCAATTCCAGGCGTGAGTTTGAGCCAACAGCTTGTGCTCCTCTCCCCTGTGAAATGACAGCTAGCTTCTGGATTTAGTCTGGATGATTTTACCTGTCAGTGGCTAACGCTGCCTGCAGGTCCCGAGGCTTAATTCACTCCAGGAGCAGGATGGCACAGACCTGCAACTGTCTGTACAACGCATTTCTGGCTGCGTTGTAAAGAATTCCATGCAAGTGGGAAGTTGGAGCCCTCAGTGTGGCAGCAAGAGATCTAACCCTTGCAGTAAACTAACCACCACTCCGAGCCTCAGGCTGGAAAGCTGAAGGTGACAGTCCCTCCATCTCCACTCCAGTCCCACGTCCAGCCACGGACAGCCTCTGCAGGGAGCACTGCCTGGGCAGCTCACGCACTACTAAGGGGGCTGCGATGTCTTTCCATCTTTTCCACTGTTTTTGTGGCAGATCTGGGTAGAGTTAAGAGGGCTGGGAGCGAGGGAGCAGAAAAGAGATAATTTATGAGCCTATCTGCAGCGTTAGGAGAGCTCCAAGCATCACCCAAATCTCTTTCCAAACCTTTGCATTTGGAGATACGGCAGCAGCAGACACTGAACAGAACAGGTATCTGGGTTTTTTTCCCTTGTTTGCTGTTGTACCTTTTTTTTAGACTGTACATGGTTTGGAGCAACAGGAGACTCTCAATGTTTTTGGTTTTGGTTTTTTTTTTGGATGTGTGTACATGTGTATATTTGTCTCTCAGCAAGCCATAGACAAAACCAGAATGCAAACAACCCCACTTCATCCTTCTTTGTTTTATAAAATCCCAGGGTTGACACTGGCTTCCCCAAGCTCTCAGCCTCTTATCTGTTATCAATGCTTGTAACTATCAGGCTGAAAACTCTACCCAGCACAAGTGTGGCAGATGATGTTTACCAGAGCTACAGATCAATAATAAACATGCTGATTTTTTTCTAGAAGAATCCAGGGCATTACCTAGCACTCATCTTCCTCACCACTGCAAAGCCTGTCCCAGTCATATGATGCTTCACTTTTGTATGATCCTAGATGTAGGAATAGCAATTTGCTTCCACCTGGCTCGGCTTTTTCTCTAATGATGAAAGAAAAGGGTGTTTCAACCATGGGGCAAGCGTGTCCTGGCAGCAGCCAGGGTGGTAGAAGAAGACAACATTGCCAGACTATGGAGAAAATAATGTTTAGCCTGTCTCATCTACACACATAACAGATACAGCCTGGGGAAGCTCTCCATGCTTTCAAACTCAGAGCAAAAATGCTTTCCAGTCTCCCTGGACATCACCTGAGTGAGCACAGGAGGACATGACTCATCATGCTCCCCCCTATGGCAATGCACCATACTTGAGCAGATGCCCAAACTCAATCTAAAGGAAAATGGCTTATAAACCTCAGCAAGCACTGGCAGGGCTGAAAAATAACAATCATATTCAAAGTAGAAAGCCTATACCTGAGTGATGTCCTTTATCTGCCCCCAAAAATCAAACCGCTCTCCGCCACCCAGTTCTCTTGATGCACAGATCAGGCTGCACACTAACGCAGCCTCCTTTTCCAGTTCTCAGTTTGCTTCAGTGAGAGACCTGAAACCATCACCAAAACATTCTCATTTTAAGTATATATAAGAGACTGAAATAACTATAGGGGTGGCCAACACGACCCACTGGTGACCAGGCAGAGCTGCACCTGGTTTCTCCCGTTCACGTAACACCAAATAAGAGCTGGGTGGGAAAAGCACTTCATGCATCACCGCTTCATAATTGCTTTAATGGTTTCAAGACTTCAAAGTTTCCTGCTGTGGTTCTCCTGAAGCCTGGACAGGGAAAGGTTTCCTTCCAAAACTGGTCACCAGTGCACCCCAAGCATTTCAAGAGGAAAGAAACAGGGAGGCTTTGAAGCTAAGGCAAGTAAACTGCTATACAAAATAAATCATCAAAACTGTGCCTAAACAATGAAAAACACGCTAAGGTATTTAACAATTAAGGATATTGTCCATCTCCAGCAAAGCACATGAACAAGTACTGCTTTTAAGCAGGTGCTGACCCTGAGCATGTGAACAGTCCCGGGTAACGAGAAAGGTAAAGAACATGGTTACAAGCAAATATGTTCCTATTGTTTCACTGAGATTATATCGCCCATGAGAAAAATCTCAGTGCTATCAGACTACAGACTAGTGCATACATCACTGCAAAAACAGCAACTGCAACAAAAGGAAGTTTTTCTAAAACTCTATTCCTATGTCTTATCTTGATTTCAGAATCAAAATACTTTAATTTAAAGAAAATTATAAAGCTTAAAAAATCATGTAGGATCACACATCACAAGTGACAACCTATCTTATTAAAACATTTACTTGTTTTGTTTTACAAGGACAATTGTGTTAGTATAGCTAAGCCAAAAAAAACCACCCCACCAAAATTCCACTATTTTTCCTTTTCACAATATCACAGTTGTACCTGAATGAAGACTCATGACTTAAGCCAAGAATTCACATGCTCAGCATGCAGCTTTAAGAAATCTTGTTCTGTTTTACAGTGGTACTAATCGAGGTGAAATTAAGCTGTATTCGGTGTAACGCATACATTTACACACACATATATATTTATATGAAAAGAACTGAAGCCATCATTTCTATGTTTGGGTTTTTTTTTTATTAAACATTTTCTTCTTCTATTTTGTGTTTACTGACTCCTACGTGAGCCACTATCTACCTCCACATCACATGTTAAACAGGGTTTTGTTGGGCTATGAAAAGACACAGGGCAATACTCACCCTGCAAAAACTCCCCAGAAACATAAACAGCTCTTTCAAATGAAAAAGCTACTTTCCTGTCTTAATTAAAGGTTTTGGAAGCATTCAGTGAGATTTAACCTGAAGAATATGAAAGCATAGAACTCCTTTGGTGGTTGCATAAGAGAGAGCTATATCAATACAGGAAAGGACTTACCTGCTGTTTGTCTTTGACCCCTTATAGTTGAGTGTATCACAGTCCTGACTGCATTTGTCTGCAAAGTAGCTGCCTGTGCTACACCAGTGCTGCACTCTGTTTTCCAAAGGAGGCATGCAGACATTAAAGATTAAAGTTTTTTTAGAAGTTTCCCAGTACCTAAGCATGCAGCAGGTGAGCCACACAGTTCTTGGGAGCATTTGGATGCCCCACTAAATGTATCCTTTTTCATGTGCCCATGGAAACCTACCTAAAATCTAAGCATCTCTAAAAATCCAGGCTAAAGCAATTTGCTGTAGGTTGCCTAAGAAGTTTTGAGAGTAGGAAATGGAGAAAAATTGAGAACCGAGCACAACTCTCCGTGTCTCAAGCAAAAAGCTTAACCATTTGGCTATCTTTCTCTTCTCTATATACACTAGGAGAAATACTAATATATACTTTGCATACAAATTGCAGCCCAACACAGCCATGGGCTGGTAAAACAAGAAGAGAGACCTACATCCAAGCATCACTTTTAGAAATGGCTCTGTATTCTGACTTAACTGCCACCAGCCCCATCAGCAGAAGCAGCTTCAACAAGACAGGCTGAGACCAAACTCCATCCCTGAATACGTGCAGAGTGGACAGGACTCTCTCCTGGAGATACAGGTACAGCCTCTTGGTAGAGTGGTTTGAACACAGCACCTCCACGGCTCCTGGAAAGAAGGGCAGCGCAGCAGTATGTATTTCAGTGCTGCTACAAGACCAGGCTGCATGGTCACAAGGACGGGGCCATGCATTTCAGCAAGTTTTGCCAGGTCTCAGGTAGGAGCCACGTGCTAAGCTGTGCACAACCCAAGCCCAAAACATGGCTCGACAGGCACTTCACACACCAAGAGCTGCAGCAGAAACAATGTGGGAGTGCAGTGCCGAAGTCTGTACTCAGAGAAGCCAGTACTGCTACCTGCATCTCCTCTGCAGGCACAGTGAGTCAGATGTTTTAAAAGCATGAGACAGCTGGGGCTCTCCGCCGAGACATCCATGTTCCTGTGCTAGCGGGTGAGCTTCAGTCAGCAGAGCCAGCTGCTGGAACCAGCTCCAGCCCCTCTGCCTGCCAGGCCAGCACTCGAGCACAGAACCATCTCCTGCAGCCCTGTTTCCTTGCTTGGAGGAGGAACGGGCTCCCTCCAAGCTACCAGGCAGTGCAGAAGCCAAAACAGAGAGCATTAAGGGTGACTGCAGCACTGGATGTGAGCTGGGGCTCCAGCTAACAGGACAGCGTGAACAGAAGCCATTATCTCTCAGTTGCTTGTCTGTGAAGCACTGCCAAGGGCATCGCCCCTGTAGAGGACAAGGAGGCTGCATGTTTTGAAGCTACAACAGACTGTGATGCATACCGATGGACTGATAACAGGGACATGCACTGCTTTTTTAGAGCTTTTCACTATTAACTTTTTGTCATTTCAAAACCTGCAAAGCTACCACCATATTCCCGCCTTTGTTTTTATGATAGGATTTTTGAGTCATACAGTTTTGGCCCATCAGTACTTGCTCATGTGTTCAAGTAACAAAAAGGAGATGAGAGCTGTGAGGAGAGTATAGCCAGTCTCTTTAAATACGAGCAGTGCCTACCCTGATGGATGAAAACAGCCAGTTTCAGTTTTTCCTTACTGGAACTTGCTGCAGTGCAGGAAATGTATTCCAAAAAAATTAGAGGATGTAATGTACTGTGTGCACATGGTTTGCCTCTCAGCAGCACCTGATACCTCCCATTCATGCCATCAGAGTTGCATCTGCTGACACTCACCAGTCGATTTGCAAGAGCGATGGTACACGCTGTAGCTTCAGCTTCTTGCTGACATTTGAGTTTGTCTGAAGTGGCCTTCTCAAACTTGGCTGTGAGCTTTCCCAGGTTCTCGTTGAGGCGCTGCACATGAAAAAAAAAAAAGGAGGAAATAAGAGCACGGTTTTAAGGAAAAACCTTCTCCAGAGATGCTTCACCCTGTGGGCAGGGCTGGCCATGCTCCACCACAATTCAGCGCGCCCAGGCTGGCTCCCAGGGTGAGCCCCTACACACAGTGCTGAGGCATCAGCAGCCCGCGTGCAGCAGCAAAGCGACGCGCTAGTTGATGTGCTTGTAACTCATATCCTCGGCACAGGGCAGAGACAAAGAACACACAAAACTAATTTATTTGGGGCTCTGCCCTGGTGTGAATTTAAACTGGGAAAGAGGTATTTACGGCCAAGTACAGATGAGCAGTGCTATGGCTGAGCAATAGGCAGATAAGAAAACAGAATTTTATTTCCCCTGATGCTGCAGCCCCCTTGGTCTCAGTCCAGTCCCTGAGGCTCTGCTGATTCACCGAGTTGTGCTCAAATCCCCAAGGGGCCTCTTGAGCAGCTGGAGGTATGCTTGAACCATCTCCGAGCCACACCTCCCACACCTTGCTCCTAGAAGGGAATATAACAAATACATCAATAAAACTGTTCTGCTCCTAAAGCCACCAGAGCATGTGCTGTGGGACATTCCTGCAGAGGAGCCCGACCAGCACTAGGTGGGACCATCTCACATGCAGGTTGGCTGCAAAGTGTTTCTGGGCTCAGAAGGGACAGAAACAGCCCAAACCACCTGGAGAATGAACAAACAAACAAACCAAAAAAAGAACCCTTGACTTGGCCAGATCTGTTCACACTCTGGTCTAAAACAAATCAGCAGCTCCCATGAGTACTTGGAGCATTTAACTTCTGATAAGAGAAGTAATAATTGATTTTAACTGCACCCAATGCAAACCTCTTAAGGCTAAACAGCTTGTAAATCACTTTAACACTGTTTGAGCTACACACTAGAAACAAACCCAAAAAAGGAAAAGGATTATATTAGGGATAGCTGAAGCTCTCCTGGATACTGGAAAACACAAAGCAGTTTCTCCTTGACCTGTCTTGGTATTGGTAACACAAAAATTTCTGTCTCTGCATGCATATGAATGTATGTGCATACATACACTCATATTTACAAAATCCCATTACACAAGCACGATCTGATAAATTAGTATCTAAGAGCTAATGAAGAACAGATCAAACCTGCAGCACCCCACCAGACACACTCTACAGTATCACACAAATATATCTGTGTGTAAATGTGAATATATGTCCTGCTTCTACATCTACCCTCCCTAGATTCGTAGCAACTTTATTTCCCAGGCAGAAAAAGGAGAGGGAAAGGTACTTAGTATTTCTGACAATCAGAAGAGTCTCATTTATTACTAAAAATGGGTATGTGACAGCTTGGGCCCCGGTTGTGAGCAGGTATGAATCAGCCTCACATCAGTGAAGTGATTCAAGATATCCCAGCTTGATAAAGCAGGGATATACCTCCACATCCGCCCCCACACTGAGCAGGGTATCATTACCCATCTGCAGAGGGAAAAACTCACCTAAACCAGTCAGTTTTGTAAGTGCCTGCCAGTGGAGCACCAGTGATCTCATCAAAGATTGACATTTTCTTTAACAAAATCCCACTTCTTGAAAAAAGATAAAGAAACAAATAAAAGCTTGGGCATTAAAAGCTTTGGAAAGAACAGCATAAAGGGATGAAAAAAAGATTTCCAGCACTGTATTTCATATCTGAGATGGGAAAATTAGAGGCTAAAGACCTCTAAATCTATCCCTGCTTCAGGTGCTGTGCCCATGCGCCTTTCAACTGCATCAGGAAGAGGCCACTGAAGAGCTCTGGATATTTTTTTTTATATTTCTAGTTAAAAAGCGGAGTAAACACTTTAAGAATAGTAAGCCCTAGGAGACGTCAAAAGAGTAATGTATTTTCTAACGTGAAGATGTGCCGGTGGGAGAGAGGAGCACTCGGGTGAGCGCAGCTGGAGGGCCTGTGCTGCGCCGCTCCGGGTGTCTCAAAGACACTTAGAGAACTCTGTCAGCCCGGCTGCCAACACGCCCTGGTCACTAAAGGGGGTCCTGCATGAACTGCGGTGTCAGTACGAAAGCACAGCCACAGAGGATCCTTCGCTCACGAAGAGGGATCCCAGATCCACAGCGCCTTATAAAAAGGCAGGGTTTGGAGCACAGGCGGTGGCTGCCTGCCCTGGAGGCACCCCCAGAGCAGCGAGTGCCGGGTCGCTGCGCCGCCGTCCGAGGGACGGGCTGGTGGGGTCCCCGGGGCTGGCTTCCACACTTTGCTGTTAGCGGCTACGGGCCAGGGAGAGGGGAGGGAGCAGAGAACAGCAGTGTGTCTTTTAGCACAGAGATAAATTTCCACAGGAAAAGGAGAAAGGCTAGAAGCTACTCTCTGTAGAAACGCACTTTTAATCACACAGTAATTTCTGCCATTCAGTGATTTTTTTTTTTTTTTTTTGAAGTAGAAAAAATTTAACTAAGGTTAATGCACAAGATATGCCGACAGCGAGCAGTGCCAGGACAAATTAATAGGCTCCTACATGAGCAGTCGTTATCCTGTAAAACACGGCCGTCGCCAGGGACCGAGCATGGGGAGCCGGCCTAGCACAGCTCTGTGATACCAGCACTCCCGATCAGCCCCCGCTTCCTCTTCCCTGCCCCTGTGCAGCACACCGGGAACATACTGGTCTGAGATAATGAGTTTTCTGAGGTTCCATGAGTAGTGGTAAATTACATTTTAAAAATTAGATAGGAATAATAAGAATTAATAATTATTCTTCCTCTTAAGGTGTAAGCAAGCCTGGAGAAGAACAGATGAAATGCAGAAAGCAGCAATAAAAGGGACAGAAAAGACTACAGTCTACTGAATCCCTGGATTCCCACCCTGCCCTTAAAAACCCACGAGTGCATTGAAGCGGCTTTCTCCAAAGCGGAGGATTTCTCCCTCAGCAGTGACAAGCGTGATGAGTCCCACCACAGGGCAGGCACTTACGGCAATTTTGGCCTTGATGCTGGCCAGCTTGTCCTGGGCAGCCGCCAGCTCCGCGTTGGCTTTGCTCAGAGCCTGCCGCTTCGGCTCCACGTCGCAGTGCACCTCGTGGAACCGCACGATGTTCACCACCCAGGAGCAGAGGCCGGCCGCGGCGTAGGACTTGGTGGTCACGAATTCGGGTTTAAACTTGGGATCTTGCAAATAGGGCTGAAGAGCTTTGAGGCAGTTCTCGTGGATATTCTCTTTATCAAACTTGATCAAGGAGTCCAGGAAGCCGTCCACCCTGGCCATGGCGGCTTTCGCTGCTTTCCAGCTCCGGTCCTTGGGAATCTTTCCTCCTGGGGCCATCAGCACCATCACGGCTGCAGTGACATTGCTGACAGCTGAAGGTGGTGACCCAAAGGACCTGAGCTCTGTCAGATTCTTCTGAAAAGTGGAAAACAAAGTTGTTAGACAAAAATGAATGGGCTTTCTTTTTACTTTGCCACTAACAGACTCAGGCTCCCAAGCTATCAATCTGATAAATTGGATTTCTCTCAGCCTGTACATCACTGCCTTTAAATCACCACTGTGCATGCTCACAGCACATGTGCTCGATTCCCTGCATCCAGCTCCTTATATCCCACCCGGGACCAGCACAGCACCGTGTTCCTCCCCAGATTCCCACCCTTTCCCTGCTGCCAGCCCTGCTGCCTGGGAGAGCAGGAGGTTTTCTGCCCTCTCAGGTCAGGATAAGGAAAAAAGGAAACCTTTCCAAATAACAACCTCTACAAATAGCCCCCAGCCACTCTAGAACTTCCTTGCAGAGCTTCCCTTTATGCTTAACTACTCCCTGTGCCAGACACCCATGCATTAAGGTCTTGTTGAATTCTTTGTGTGCACCCACGTTTCCACGGGGCCATCATCCAGCCCAAATGGAGGCACTTCAACCAAGCACCATCAGCATGAGAGCAGTCATCGGGTGAACAGGGTGTCCCCCCGTGAGAATCAGCTAATGATGGGGACACCCTTGACCAACGGGGAGTTCCCAACTCCTCCACTACCAATATAGGTACTGTCCCTATATTGGTAATATTAGGGATAATATTAGGGATATAGAATCCCTAATATTAAGTGGGATGAATCTTAACCTCAGCAAAAAAAGCTGAATTATGAAGAAAGCATGCATTTCCTAGCACACTTGCAACTGTGACAACAATGCAATGCTGAGGGATTGATCTGCTGACACCTAAAATCCTCTCTCCATGTACGTGCGAGCTAGGTTTTGCGTAGGAAAAACAAGGGCAGGTAAATCAGCCGTTCTTGGATGACATGTTGTTGTCAAAACAAGGATAAGGGCTGTCTGAATGCCAGTTTAAGAAAAATCTATAAACTTCTGTCAGTTCCTGTTTCTACCACTTTTGAATTGTTTCTAATCTATATTCACTGATATTCTGCTTCTTTCTGTTTCTGTCCATGGAAGCAAGGTGGCATGGTCTGGTACTCTGGAGCATCCACTTCTGCTATGAATCTGTTCTTAAATGTGTCTTTGCTTGCTTTTAGTTTTTGTTAATAGTCAAGCTGTTAGAGACAGGCTCTTGGGAGCTGTGTGTATTTCCAGTGTAAAATTTCTCTAACTGACATTCCCAATGACCTGAAACCCACCGTGAGCACAGACGAGCACCCCGGCCTGCTCTCCTCTGTCCTGAGCACCCTGCACAGCTCGGCCAGGAGCAGCACGAACTACGTGGCCTGTCCCCAGCCCCGCGTGTGCCAGGGGCTGGTGCCCGGGTGGCTGGGGGGGCTCTGGCAAAGCAGCCCGTGTTTAACAGCCTGCATCTCAGTGGAAACGCGATGCTGAGCCGGAACCCTTGCTTTTTCCCTAGGAGGTGAGCCCTGCCATGACATGATAGGAACGGTGACACTACTACCCTAAATGGGAGGGAGGATGATGCTGTCCTGGCCGGGAGATTGAGGAAGCCCTGGGCAGCACGGGGCGGCCGTTTTCACTGCACACCATGAGAGTCTCTGGCACCGCAGGAGGAGGAATAGCTAGGTCCATGCTGAGTGCCATGTTGATGCACGGGGGTGCCAGGTAAAAGGAGCTCTGCCCGTTTCCCTCGTGCATCAATCAGCTGTATTTTAACAAAGCACTCTGAATTCTTCTTCTGCACACCAGAGTAGCTCTGGGATGGAAACCAGGCAGGACACTGACACTGAGTGCCACTTGTGTCAGGAACACCGACAGCTACGGCATCTTCAAATGCCTCTGGGCTGCCTCCAGAGGATATTCCTTGCAGGCAATTGGATAGGAAGTTTGTTGCTTTTGATATTATCACTGTCTTCTGCTCACTGTAACCTGTACAGAGACTGAGCAGCACCGGCCAAGTACCATCCTCCTTTCCAAGGGGGCAGAGGCTGCTCAGCTGTCTCTGCAGGACAGCTGCTGCTCCTCTTGGAAAGCGCTTTGTGCCAAGCAGAGACCCACGGGCAGGGGAAGGCAGTCCCAGAGTCCGGTGCTAAGACCTCCCCATTCCCACCCCCCTCAAAAGGATGAGGATGCCGAAACATCAGATGCACTGAACCCCATGTCCTGCAGTCCTTGGGGCCCAGGGAATGCAGGTCCTGAGAAAGGGCCCAGGCACACTCATAAGGCGAGCAAACTGAACTGTAAGAAGTAAAATGGCACTTTTGTCTCTAAAGGCTGATTTCCTGAGTTTTGAAACACACTATCAGGTGGTCGGGGTCTGAATTTTTTATTTTGCAGCTATTCCATGATGGGTGTATCGTAATCCACGTCATTCACCATGGGCCATATAATAATTACTTTCATTATTTAAAAATATATATATATTACATATAATTATCTTGTATATGTATATAATTACTGCTTTTTAACACCTTAAATAGCTTCTCAGTTTGCCGCAGGCACTCACACTGCCACCAAATCCCACAAAAGGCATTAACACCAAAGCAGGAGACACAAATGGCTGCAGCAGTTCCCCCAGTGCAGCCACTGCCCAGCCAAAGCTGGGCTGAGCCAGCCTGCGATTGCTTCTTGGCTCAAACAGAAAAAAGGAAAAGGAAAGTTTAAATTGTGAGGGAACACACAGAGAGCTAAATCTTGCTGAAGGCCAGCTGAGCTGGCCTACCCCCTCCAGAGAGAAGCGTGGCTACGGATGGTTTTGAAGGCACCAAAGAGGATTATTTAAGGCACCAAAAAGATTATCCTCCCACCACAAAAAAAGGAGTAGAAATGAAGTCAGGTTTAGGTTGCACCTGATGAGAAGGTAACGTGCATACTGATACACTGATCAGGTGAAATATTTTTAGTTTTGCTGGAATAATTTGCATCCCAGTAAAATAACATGCACTTGTTACTTGCAACTACCATTGCTTGGGAAGTGTCTCGTGTGCGGGCACTGCTCTGACTGCAGCAATGAATGAAGAACAGCGACTTTGGTTTAATGGGGGTAAGGCACTGCACACAGCAGCAAGGCAGGAGGGGATGGGAAACCATCTGGCTGGAAACCCGTGGGGCTATGTGGGCCCAGCAGTGCCTGCCCCAGGACACCTGCCACACAGCCCTGGGGAATTCAAACGGGCTGCTGCTGCTGCTGCTCTGCTCCTGCTCCTCTGTGCCGCTTTCCTCCTCTCCTTCAGCTGCAAATCTCACGCGGGATCTCTGGCCTCCCAGAAAAGGCTGACCCCTTGGGTTAGTGCCCTGTTAATCCTGGAAATGGTAAAAAAACCTACCCTGGCCCATTCTCTTGTGCAAACCTCAGATGGTCTCTGCAGAATGCCACCCAGAGCCCGGGTGCCAGCCTGGTTCCCACAGTGACACACGGCTTCGGAGCAGCTGTCCCATCCAGGCGAGTCAGGCATTTCTCAAAACCCACCCCAGCAAGGGCAACTGGCTGCCTGCTGGCCAGCCCCACTCATCCTCTGCCTGGGATTATTGCAAAGGCATCCCCTGTCGCTTCCCTCTCTACACAGCCTATCTGAAAAAAGATACAAGTCTGAATGGACACAGCTGCTCTTTTTTCAAACTAGCAGGTGACACTGGCACAGAAATGTCCATGTATCCACATATTTACTGAGCTCCGTGGGAGCTGACTATATATATTTATTACTGCATTATACTCAACAGCCTTTCTCACTGTTTTCCCTATTAATGCTGCATATATATAACAGTGCTGTCCAAATTACATGACAGGTAATTGGGGAGAAACTATATACACACACATAAATTTTGCTGATTAGTCATGTCAGCAAGCAGGTCAAGCTCTTTGATGCATCTCTGATCAGAAGGTAAGGGAGGCCGTGCTTTCCAGTGCTCTGCTACTGCTGCTTTACAGGTCCCTAGAGAAAATCCCGGCACCTCCCTAATCCTTGCCTAATGAGATATTCTACAGCTCCAACACAAAACTAAAACTTATGAAGAGACAAATATTTTCCCTCTGTACAGCCCTTTCCCTTCCAGGAACAAGAGACAAAGCAACACATCTCTGCAGCAAAGCCACATGCATCCCGAAAGCTAATCAAACAGAAAACCTATTCCTGATGACATGAAGTTGCTTTCGTCTCCCCCAACAGGGCTATGATTAAGCCATGGTTTGAGGCATGATTGAGCCGTGCCTTGCTGTGATCATGGGAATAACTCATTTTCTAGCTGCATCTGGTGTGCGGTCCCTGCTCTGCCCTGGGTGCAGCGGGAGGTGGCTGCTGCAGGATGCTGCAGGAACTGCAGACCAAGATAAATTGTAGCTACATGTCCCTGGGGCACATCTCAAGTTGCCGGATTCCAAATGGGAACTCCCTGAGCACCTTTGGAGGAAGAATTTTCCAAGGTACCAAAAGTCTTTCCCAAAACAATTAGTTAATCTCCGGCAGTCAGAGCAGTCCTTATCTCCTGGTTATACATCTCCCCAGTTGCATCTTCCTTCGGAGTCACCTTGTCTGTGGCAATGTATGGCTCTACTGAGAGGTCACCGTGCACTTGGTACCCAGCTTCCCACCACCCCCAACAGTGTCCTGCCCAACCCAAACACAGTGCTGAAGAACAAGGCCCTCTCCCCATCCAAGAAGCCCAATCCTAAATAAACACAAACATGGAATGAGACTTCTGTTCCAGAACTTCTTAAACTGAAAGCCACACCATGAGCGCACTTGTGGAGCCAAGCTGTATGTATCAGACATTGAGCATCACACTCAGCAAGTCCTGAGGAATGTCTTGGACAAAGAGAGGACAAGGCAAATCCCACCTCAGTACAGCTGGAGAAGATTGGTCCAAACCCTCAGACCGCCAGGTTTTATCCCTACAACAGGAGTGAACTCATGAGGGAAAGCTGCCCAGAAGAGCCCAAGAAGCCACCAACTCTCCCCACTGCACCTCTGGATCTCTGATCCATCTTCCTGCACCTTCTCTTCCCCCTTGGCCAAGCAAGGCATTTGCTGTGGGCTGCAGGAAGACACCTGCCCCACTGTGCCGCAGACTCAGAGATCGACACGAGCCTTCCCATCACAGATCCCTTTCCAAAGCAGAAGGCAGGTGACGTGGGGACTTGGGAGGACGCCCACGCTCACCGCCAGCTGCAGCCACCAACTGCCAGCCGCACGCCCACCAGCACTGGTCTGCAGGGCTCACACAAGATCTGTCTGTGCAGCATTCCCAGCACCAGCTACTCTGCTGGCGAGAAAAGCTCACAGGGTAGTTGGGTGCAAAATCTGCCTTGTTGGTGTTCTGTCGTGTTCTCAGCTCCCGCTGTGCTGAGCGTGCGCTTGCACAGGAATACCCCAAGCAAACAGCATCAGTACTGTCTCTCGCTGACACGAAGGGCTGCTTGGGCTCCCGCCCGCCTGTCCTGCAATGCCTCCTGCACCTCTGCTGTGACCAGCTAAGGGCACAGTGCTCCTTGTCACAGGACCCTCAGGGTAGCTGACAACCAGCCATCCTGAGCGCACCTGCAGCCTCTCCTGTCTCCCCTCCCACAGCTTCATTCCCTGCAGTTCAGGGGTAACAGCCTCAGAAAAGTCTGGAGCAAGATGTGGCCTGGAGCCCAGCCCTCCATCCCGCATGTCCTCCGCCAGGCTAGCAGACAGGTCTGAGCCAGAGACAGTGCCCAGACAGCAAGACAGAGGCACAGAACTGGTGATCCCTCTGAGACACTCTTCCCTGGGTTGCGAAGGAGCGTGACAGTAAGGTTACCTCCCCTTCCTTGTGGGGCAGGATGAGAAGCAGGGGAGCCAGTCAACAGTGGAGAAGAGCTGCAACCAAAGAACCCACCTCCAGTTCCTCCTGCTCTCCATGGCCATGAGTAAAGGGTAACCTGGTGCAGTCTCATGGCTACTCTGAGTTACGCCAGGGTCTGAGTACGCACCGGCTGGGAAGCAGCTAGAGGAGGGTCAATACAGTGCCCCAAACCATGGGCCATCAGATGGCACTGCCCCCCTGCAATGCAGAGGGGAGATACTGGATTCCCACGGGAATCTTCACCCTACCTTGTTGAGGGTGTTCAGAGCAGCATGGGCAGCTTCCAGGGCAGGCTCAGCTTTGGCCAGGTCCTCCTTGCAGTCCTTCTGTTTCTGCTCGACCTCCCGGGCGATAAGTGCCACTTTCTGCTCCTCCTCATCGGCGATTGCCTTTTCCCTGCTCACTTTCTCCGTCTCTACCCCCACCACCTGGATCAGCTTGTCAGCATCATCATTCTTCTGCTTCAGCTCCACTTCTTGGGCTGCCAGCTTGGCCTTCAGCTCATCCACCTAGAGGGAAGAAACACGTGTAGGAGCACCAACACTCCCCAATCTGCTCCCCACCCTGCCCAGCAGCACAGGCTCACGCTCAAGTGGGGCTGGGCAGCACCCAAACACGTGGAGGGCATGTGTGCAAAGCAAGCAATGCCCTGGCAGCACAGGAAAGCTGTATTTCTAGCTGTTAGCGGGATACTGATGCTCTCCTTTGCTGATGGTTGCTCGAGTCATGGTTGGAGAGCCCATGCTCATGTTCCACAAATCCAAGCAGCCTGCTAGCAGTGAGGAAACCAGCACAGGAGAAACCAGCACCAGCAGGACAAACTGCTAAGGAGGCTGTCCCACCTCTGCTCCCTGCATCTGCTTGGAAACCAGACAGAGGTGCCAGGGCTACACAAACACTGCTTTGAGCAGGATCCAGTGGGAAGCAGGTGAAAGCTTTCATTTCGGGTATTATCATGGGATTATTTTTCTATGGCCCGGGAGTGTCACCACGGACCAGGCATTTGCAGGAAGCTTCTCACTATAAAGCCAAATACATCCAGCTTTGAACACGAGATCTGACGTTACATCCCATCCCTGGTAACGGAGACATGCATGCACTGTGCACGTGTGCTTTGCAGTGTTTTGCTACGCTTTCTTTTGCTTCTCAACCCTGACACCAGCAGACCAGGGCACGTGGTATTTTGCCACATGCAGGTTTTGAGGAGGACCCTGGCACCAGGAACCAGCGCTCCCCGAGCCGCCTGCTCACCCAGGAGCACCCTGCCGCTCACCCACCCCTCCACCCCATGCTCCCCACACACAGGGCAGTGGCAGCACCCCATCAGCTCCCTCATAACCATCCATTCCTATGGGTTTGTGGTGGGAAGGGCTTTTTTCACACCAGAAAGATTACGATTGGGATCTGCTGACAGGTACATCCATTGTCAAAGCTCCAGGGCTTGAGGGGCTTTAACATGTGATGTTAAATGAGCTTGAGAAGAGATTTCTCATTCAGCTGGTAGCCAAGAGGCATGTCAGTGATGGCAGCTCCTCACACACCGCTCCACTGAGCAGCTGCTCACACCCAGCAAGGTAGGAGCCCTCTCCAGCAACAGGCTGAAGCATTCGCATGATGCTTGCACCAGCTCTCAATTGAAAAAACTGCTTTCTAAAATCAGCCATTTCAATAAATTTACACAGGCTCTGTGCAGACCACGGAGTTTTTCACTGTCCTGCCGTTATGCTCATAAAGGAGAGCTTAGAGCTTAGAGCTCCTGGGGTATGTCTTTACCTATATAAAAATACTTACTAGAAGGGAAGTCAGACACTTGCTTTTGTTGATAATTCCACTTTTATACCAGAAGAGAGAGCACAATTTGCAATCCTATAAACTGAAGCTATTGACGTTCAGCATCAGCTCTAACTTGAGAGTGGTTCACTCTTGGAGTCTCTTTGTGCTCTTCATCCATTGTCATCTCCTGCTGCCTGGCACTACAATGCTGCTCTCACCATGAGAAAGACGCCACTGTAAATCCAAACGACTCTGGGCTCTCAGGAGCACATAATCCCTTCAGTCGACAAACTCAGCGGTAGCTTCTTGTTCAGCTACACGACTTCGGGGATTGCAGGAAATTGAAGTGGGAGGCTTTGCTGATGTCAGATATTGCTTGTGACCTTTTGCCCAAAAGTCAGTCATCATGTGTGAGATACATATATGAACGGGAGCTTTAGGGGTTTACAGGACCACAACAAAACAAGCAAGGGATTAAAACCCACTAGTACTCAACAGTGTTACAAAATGAGCAGATGTAAACTCAGCCTCCAGCGCAGCCCATGAGAACAGAAAATGACCTGATAAAACCTGTTTTCAGCCAGGCATATGCAATAATGGAAGGGTAAATGACTTGCTATAACATTGTCAGGATTTAAAAAAAGCAAGAAATTCAGCTAGGGCTTTGCCTAAAAGAAATATTTGGAAGCTCAGAAGTGTACGTTACTGCGAAGTCCCCTGCCCAGCTGGGCTTCAGTTACATGTCAAATTCCCAGTGAAAATGATGTGAGTTGGAGCTGTGACGTGTATCCGAAGCTCTGATGGACCCTCTGCCAATAGACCACACCACATCTAGGGGACATATGGTGACCTCTGGTCTCCCTTACCTACAGAAGGATTTTAGAACATGAAAAGAAACAATAATATTTCCCCAGTGAGGCTAAAACTAAAATGCAGTTGAGCAGGGACAATTTATTAGTGTTTGTGCAGTGGAAGGAGAGAAACAGGAGCTACACCTAAATAACCAGACTCACTATCTTTAGTGATGTCCTGGGGGTGACACAGGGAATGTACTTTTATGAACTTCACTCTTCCAGTTTCACCCCCTCAGCACAGCAAACAAGTTTCCCTTCATGCTATACTTGCATCAACAGCAAAAACAGTCTGTCACATCCATTTCAACTCCCCTCCCACACATCTTAATGTCCAGACATAAAAATGTCTGATGAGACATCAGTGAGCAGGCAGGCCTCACACCACCGCCTTTGGGAAGGCACAGGCACAGCAGAAACCTTATATGTGTTCCCATCAATGACCTGTGGAGCCATCCCTGGAAGAGCAACGTTAGGAATAAAGGCATGAAAAGTGCTCTTCTTTCTACAAATGTCACAGTAACAGAAGGTACTCAAACTTCTCCTCTCTCGCACCAAAACTGACTTTTCATCCAAAAAGGATGGTAACTTGCACACAGAGATATTTTCTGTTTCTTTGGAAAACCAAGATAGTTATCATATTTCCAACCATTACACTTCCAAAATCCTGAGGTGGCCAAGCCTGACCACCACTGATATGTATCATCTCGGGGTGTGCAGAAAACTTTCCCAGCACAGATCTTCTCACAGCCCAGAACATCTCCAAGAGTCGAGTCACACAGTCTCCCTCCTTCAACTGACACCCTCCATACTCCTAGCCCACCTTGTGAAAACCAGCAGTGTTATAAGCCATTCAGATCAGCAGCAGGGCCATCCACCATCCTTTGAGTGCATTTCCAGGCTGCTCTTCTCTGGTCATTATTGGGTCAGCTCCATGGCACCCCTGGTCAGAGTTACCAACAACATCCCAAGTAATACATGCAACAACATCACATCCGAAACACGACAGTGCAAAAGGAGAACAGCACGGGAAATATTATGTCACACAATGTCTGCTCCTTGAAGCTGGTGCTTAAATAGAGAGGATGAAAACTGATGGAGTTAAATAAAAGATGACGACGTTGTGGAGACTGAAGCCAGGAAGCCCTATTGATCTGGTCTCGTGTATTGAGTTTACATGGCAAGGTTTTGGTAAGGAGGGTGCTGCAAGGGTGGCTTTTGTGAGAAGCTGCTAGAAGCTTCCCCCATGTCCGATAGAGCCAATGTCAGCCAGCTCCGAGACGGACTCGCCACTCGCCGAGGCCGAGCCCAGGCGGTAGCACCTCTGGGATAACGTATTTAAGAGGGGGGAAAAGTTGCTGCATAACTGGTCAACTGTAGCCAAAGAGAGGAGTGAGAATCTGCGAGAGAAGCAGCTCTGCAGACAGCAGGGTCAGCGGAGAAGGAGGGGGAAGAGGTGCTCCAGGCGCCGGAGCAGAGATCCCTGTGAGGACCGCGGAGAAGCCCGTGGTGAGGCAGGCTGTGCCCTGCGCCCGTGGGGGCCCACAGGGGAGCAGGCGCCTGCCCACAGCTCGGGGCGAGCCCCACAGCAGAGCGTGCGCCTGGAGGAGGCCGTGGCCCCGTGGAGAACCCACGCCGGAGCAGGCTCCTGGCAGGGCCCGTGGCCCCGCGGCGAGCGCAGCCCACGCCAGAGCAGGTTTGCTGGCAGCACTTGTGGCCCCCCGGGGGCCCCGCGCCGGAGCGGTCTGTTCCCAAGGGGCTGCACGCCATGGAGAGGACACGTGGGAAAGAGCCACGCTGGAGCAGTTCGTGAAGAGCTGGAGGCCAGGGGAAGCACCCGGGCTGGGGAGGTTCATGGAGGACGGGCTGCGGTGGGAGGGACCCACGCGGGGGCAGGGGAGGAGTGTGAGGGGTCCCCCCCTGAGGAGGAAGGAGCAGCAGAGACAGCGGGTGATGGACTGACCACAACCCCCATTCCCTGCCCCCCTGCACCACTGTGGGGGAAGAGGTTGGGAAAATTAGGAGTAAAATTAAGTCCAGGAAGAAGGGAGAGTGGGGGGATGGTATTTAAAGATTTGGTTTTATTTCTCATTACCCTACTCTGATTTGATTGGCAATAAATTAATTTTCCTGAGTCAAGAGTATTTTGCCTGTAATGGTAACTGGTGAGTGATGTCCCTGTCCTTATCTCAACCCATGAGTTCTTTTCCATCTTATTCTCTCCCCACCCTTGTCCTGCTGAGGAGGGCAGTGATAGAGCAGCTTGGTGGGCATCTGGCATGCAGCCAAGGTCAACCCACTCCACCTCAGTGTAATGGAAACCTGGAATACTCAATGTGAGGGGAAGGCTGAATACCAGCAAGTCTGTAAGACATTGCTCAGGAAGGCACTAAAAGGCATGGGGCAAAGATAAAGAGAAGCAGCTCCACGTGGAGGGGCAGAAAGAGACTGTTTTATGTCCAGCACAAGAGCAGTGAATTGGGGATTCACATCTCTTCCAAGACATGAGCCCTCACAGCTGACAGTGGAGTTCAGGGTGCTGCAGTGACCTCTCCTGCTTGGTCCTTGCCAGCACACTGGACCCTGCTGTACTGTGGAGCAGTCACAGGCACATGCTTTATAGACTACCATCGAGACACACCACAGAAGAGTCATTACCACATCCAGGAGAGGTAAGAAAGACACCATGGACTTTTCCAGCGTCCACCAACACTGGTGAAAGCAGAAGATGCTTTTTGGGTAACACATAACTGGTAAGCAGAAGCAAGCAAGTACTACAAGACAATAACAGTACAAAGAGAGAGTGAGGTGGCATGGAAAATCACAGTAGACTGTCATGCCAAAGAGAGAGCACTATTAACCTCCTTCCCATAGGCAAGGCCAGGGTAATAACCAGATCACAGGATAATAACCAGATCAAAGTGTGAGCAGACAGATCCAGCATATGCCTTAGCACATGGAATATCATTACTGGCCACAAAAGGGTCAGTACTTGGTCCCAAGCAGTGATAAGAAATGTGAAAGACCTGTGAGCAGCTTCCTGATTCCAGGACAATCTGATAAGCAATTGGTAAGGTGAGGTAGAAAGAGAAAGAGCAAAGCAACTGAGAGAATTAAGGGCAATGTACTGTGACTCCAACAGGGAAGGAAGAAGTGTTTGCCTACAACCAGGACAGTGTGAGAAGAAGTATGAAAGAATAGAAAACCTGGAGGGCAGGCTCCCAGAAGACTCATTTTATCTGATTGTCCCTGCCTTGTTTCAAGAACACAAAATACATCACAAAGGTCAGCGATTAATTGATAGAGGAAGCAAGACTTGAATCAGGAATCCAGTGATGCAATATTAACCAAAAATCATCCTAAAAATTACTTGGCAGCAGGCTCTGAACAGAGTGCTGACCTCTTCATAGAGAACATCACTGAAAAACAAATGATTCACCCCACACATCTTCCCAAGTCTATTATGTCCTAATAACTGGAAACTGGCTTCCGCTTTTCTGAGTACTGAGAACAGCCCCTGTCTTCAGGGAAAGACGGTTAGCTAAGATGTAAGCTAATGGGAAACATTTCTCTAGAAGAAAAGTTGGTCAACAGTACCAAGATGTCCAAATCGCAAAAGAAAAAGAAAAAAAAAAAAAAAGATTGAGATTGGGTAGAGGGGAGAAGAGTAAAAGGAGAGGGAGAGGTTATTTTGAAACTGGAATGGTTAAGTTAAAAAAAGTACCCTGCAACTACGGGCACAACAGCCCCCTCACACTGAGGCCACACTGAACAGTCTATAGAAATACATAAAACTCATAATTAACTTGTCACAGCATCCAAGCAGCAGGAATCTGGAGAATGCTGATGATGGGAGCACTTGTCCTCAGACTTAAAGCACAACCAAGCCAGGTATCACAATCTTCTTCCTTTGCTTTGAAAATGAAAAAAAAACACAGCATACTGCTTCTGAGCACCATGAATACATGCTGGAGATGACACACCTGAGGGAGACAGAAGACTTGTCTCTTCCTCAGCACCAAGATCAACCATTTCCATGGGTGAATGGAAAGTCCAGACTTTTAAATCCATATGCGAGATTGAATGTTCTGGTATGATTTCTAATACTGCTAAATATCCACACTCTGGTTTCAAATCAACAGCAGTTTTGACTACTGCTCACGTCTGATAATTTAGGTGTTTAATTTTAGGCCCCCAGTGCTAATTTTAGATTCAAATTTGACATATTTGTCCT